GGTGATTATAATATGTAACGACTTTTCACTTTACAAACATTTCCCAAGACCGACTGTCTATCAACCTCGGCATGCTTCATTGTAATTCCTGATTTTCTCCTTTAAGCCAAACACGAGGTGTTACATTAGTCTTTATTTTACACCTAACGTTTCGGCACTTCGCCTTCTTCAGAGCCTGCAAAGGTCAAATTGTCCGCAATCCAATCAGTCAAACACCTCCATTACTCCTTCAAAAAAATCACCAGACCTAGATTTCAATCGCATCAAGCACATAATCAACTCTCAACGTACCCACCGCTTTTTTATGTGTCCCCCACTGAATGATTCACGTGGAGATCACCGGAAGGAGATCACATAGACTCGTAATGCACTTTACCCATCAAAACAACAGTTTAATATACTGACTCATATCACAAGTGTTAATGAGGGATTCTTCCCTGCGCTTTATAGTTGGATTGGTGGTGTTAATCCAAGGTGCTTCCAAAATTTTCCGCGCTGATGTTTTTTGTTTGTGCGCAAGGATGGTGACTTCGATCTCAAAATCCACTCCGTCGTGTTTTTGTTCTCTATGCGTTCCTAGCGGGGTTTTCCGTCCATTAAGACGCTTGTCAGCTAGGTGTTTTTCTATGGGGGCCTACCCGTTTCGCCAATATAATATCGCTACACGCTTTGCAAGTGATTACATAGGCTGTACCTACGCTCATGCAATCACCGTCTCTGCCGTTAGACATATTTTACAATCTTTCACTATACAGAGACGGTCATATATGCGGTTGCGAACTAGTTGGCGTCCTAGAGTATTCGGTGGTATTTCAATAATGGCCACCGATTGCTCTAAACCCGCTCTTTTCAAACAGCGTTTTATAGCTATACTAATCTCATTTGAAAAGAACGGGAGGATAAACGGTACTCTCCATTCATTCGAGTTTTCGTGCGGAGGCGGTCTGTTTCCTTCAAACCTAAGCCGACGTTTTACAAATTTGTATCATTATAAGTGGCTATTTCCCGAGCCACTTTCACGGATTCTACTTTTTGCTCCTCCCCGGTACATATAATGGCTGCTGTTCGAAGCATGTTTTTTACCAACGCCTTTTTCGTATGTGAGGGATAAGAAGAGAGATAGTAAACCAAGATGTTCTTATTACATGGTTTTCGGTACCACTTTGTTTATGTAGCCGCTCTCAGTTAAGCTTAATGCACGTTCAAGAATAGAAGCCAATTATTTTTTGGTATCTCACGGGTAGATTTCATATACTCTGACTGTTCATTCAACAATCTACGGTAATTATCTAGCTCCTCTTGAGTGGAACAGATAACCAAACAATCATCTATATACTTATAGTAGAGTTGATTGGAGATCCATTACTGGAGCTTCCACTCTAGACATAAAGGCAATCGCCAGGCTAGGTGCCAGTCGCTGTCCCATTGCCAGCCCTCTCATTCGAGCATAATATTTCTCTGACCATCTGAAGATTGAGCAGTTTAGGCACTCTTCAAATAGGACCATGAACTGCTCAGTCGACAATCCATACATGTTTACAGCTCCCTGGTGTTGTATCAGAAGCTCATGTGTGGCTTGCAATGCGGAGTCATTCGACACGCTGGTATTAGAGCAGTGACGTCGAATGACTCCATTACGTACGCGATGTTCAGGTTCGCGTCACGTAGACGATCCAGGAGCATCTGAGTGTTCGTCAGATGGGCTGGAATGCTTTCTAGCAACTGGGATGTTATTAAAGCTGAGAACCATGCTATTCCATCGATCGGTCCGCCTTCACAGCCGATGAGGGTCTAACTTTGAGTACAGATGGATCGTTAGACATTAGATCATCAGCGGATACTAACTTATGTGTTTTTATAGATAAGTATAAGACAGGACATGTTGGTGATTGGATTTTCAATTGAGAAATGATAGTTGGTCTTAAGCCTGCCGCTTTTGCCGTACGGACCCACTCATTGTTTAATTTGCGGTTTGCCTTTTGAATTCCTTTACACAATATGATCGTTAAAGCAAACCATCTTTGAGATGCTTATTTGTTTTTACGATATCTAAGTGTCGAGGAATCACAACAAATTCTCCACGCTTATCACCAGCTGATAGCTTTATCCTTTCTTCCTTATCAACTCTCGAACCTCTTTCATGCCGCGCTTTGGTAGTTCGGTGAGGTTCGATTGAAATGTCTCCGTGCGATAGTGAGTGAGAGTTCCAGAAGTCTCGTCCGCAAATTTCTGGAATTTTCTATCAATCTCCTCGTTGGGGTCTTGTTGTCTATAGAACGGCTGAGGAAATGGTGGTATGGGTACGACCTTTACTTCCTGTTCATTCTTATTCGTCTCTTCAGCTCTGGCCTTCCAAGGAGTTGATCTTGCAAATCTGTAAGCCACATGCAACCTTACGCAAGGACACCTTGGAAATGGGCTGAGATGGTGAAAAGCTTGGGCCCAATTATAATAGCGAGCGCGCAGCATCAGGGAGAGTTATGCCTCCTAGCACAGTGACCCTTGAATTTCTTGGTGCATTACTTGCCCTATTGTGACTCGCTTGTTCTTTATAAGCCGTATCCGTATGCCTTTTCAAAATCATGTTGATCAATTATTTGTTTCTCATCTTTATTTTACTATTTTTCGAAGCTGTTTTACAGTTTTGTAGTTGTACAACTGAAAGTACTGACTGGTATGTAAAAATTCTACCACCATAGGAGAGCGTTGAATCTCAATTCACCCATATCGAGGGGGAGTGCTACCAATACACCTTCGACATCCTGCTTTGTTACCACTGTGAAAAATAAGCCCATGTCACGCTCTCAGTTATTGGTGCTGTTGGATATATATATATATATATATATATATATATATAATATATATAAATAGATAAAGGATAAAGGGTAAAGCTCTCGGCGTTGATCAATCCCTGAGGGATGCGCCATGCATTCGACTTCAATTTTTAACTTCGTTTGAGGTGATTGAATGCACATATGGCCTTTACAATGACTCGCGGTGGCCTCCCGCTGAACCGTGGTTCGATCTCGCGCTCATGGCTCATCAAACCAACCATTCCTCCGGGGTCGGTAAATTGGTACCAGACAGGTCTCAGACTTGTCTGGGAGGATAAGCAGCACTGACTCGGTTTAGCGGGAGGCCACCGCGAGTCAATGTAAAAGCCAAATAAGCATTCAGTCACCTCAAACGAAGTTAAAAATTGAAGTCGAATGCATGCGAATCCCTCAGGAATTGATCAACGCCGAGAGCTTTTTCCTTTATCCTTTTATATATATAGTCAACTCTAAATAAATAAATAAAAAATAAATAAATAAATAAATATATATATAACATACAAGCAATCGACGAAAAGTGGTAATAGAGCGGTGCGTTGCCGATGTCTCAGGTCAGTGCTGTTATCGTCCCTTACAGAGGTAGAATGGTAGCACGTGTCCCAGTTATGGGTGAAACGCGTGTACAACCCCATATGAATTCGAATGTTTGCAGACCACTCAGTATTCTCAAATTTATATTTACCTTATGTTTACACTGCTTTTCTATGAACAGTAAACTAACAATGTCCTTTTCGCATGGAGGTGATTTACCTGGATTATCGCCTTAGGTTATTGCGGAGGGCCCGGACATTAAAATCAAGATAAATCAGACCGAGGAAGTCCTGAACAATATGGAATTATGGTCACGCAGAACGTCCGCGAAAAATTGGCTCCTAAGTAAGATCCGTGAGAACAAGATAGACATGAAACAAGCACAAGACATAAACAGATCTCCCTTTCCTGTTCTTCCTAATGTTGTGAAATGTATTACATCTTGCTCTTCAATTTCATCAACTGGAAAACGAAACTAATGTCATTCATCAGTAAAAAGTCGAAATTGTACTAAATGCAGTTCCGTGCATTTTTCTTGTGAGATCCAATGATATGCATGTTAGCGCAATTTCGGGTGAAAAGTTTCAACTTCTTGCTTTTAGGAATTAGGGGCCTTTTCACATATGAAGTGGCAATTCACTATACGAATTCTATAATATCTTCTTGATTTGGCTGTCCTTGCAGGAGATATGAAAATTAAGGTTGCTTCATAAACATCCGCCTTAATGTAAAATTTGTAACGTAAACAAGTGTGACTAAGGATGTCTCAGCTGAGCGACATCTCGGCTGTGTTCTCAACAACGTCCGCTTTAGTTCGCGATTTCGATGCACTGTCGATCCTATAAAATGTTGAATTCTGGTGTCTCACGACAAGACGCCTTACTACATTTGTTTTCATGCGGCCAATTTTGATACGGTTCTCGTTCTTCTTCGTTGTGATGCTAGATTTTAGATGCAATCTCACTCCCCTCCTGTTCCATGAGCCATCCATTGAGGATACGTTTAAGTTCGAGTAAATGCGAGAAATTAATGAAAAATCAAAGCTTGACTAACGCGATTTAATAGATCTCTTCAATTCTATTTGAGCCAACATGTCATGTGGACTGGTAAAGGGCTCTCGTGAAGCCCGATACACGTGTTTCGACCTTACAGTCTCTTCAGTCGGGCAGAACCCATCGTTTTCCAATCTTTTTTAGCCAATCCTCTGTATGTGCACCAGTCCCCACACACCACATGACATGCTGGCTCAGATAAAAATGAAGAGATATATTCAAATTTGAGCGTGGTCCTAAGAAAACACTCGAAATAAAGGTATAACGTGATTTATCTCCCCAAAATTTGCTTCCAAAACGCTTCCCACCAATAATCTGTGCTTCCTTTTCGTAATGTTATATATTTTTTGCATATGTTCTTTCAAAAGCTCCATTGTAACGCCGATGTTTAGTCGACTACTCAATCTACTTTTGAAAGGTTATAATATTATCACACAGCATCACATATGTATTGGTGAGAAAAGAATTTGAGGCTTGTCTTCTGAATAATTTGCATAATCAGAAATGATTTTATTTGACCGCCACTTGCGGTGATATGATGGTATAATATACCCAATAGTGTAGAGTGCTGTGCAAAGATGTTTGCGTCACAGCCGGGATTTGAACCCAGATCTCACTCTTTCCGGGAGCGCACGCTAACCGTTGCACCATCGACGCTCGTTTTGCACAGCACTCTTCCTATGCTACAATGCGTTATCTGTCAACAGCCAACCGTCTACGGTCTGGCGGGGTAGTCGTTAATGACATTGAACCCACTTTTGCTGAGAGATATTGGCTATCGATTATCAATCAGAAATGATTTTATTCGACCGCCACTTGCGCTGTCGAACCCCGGCCGACGCAGTTTCTGCACAGCACTCTACATTACTGCTTACTCCGATTTAGGTAAATTGGCCACAGCTCATTAGAATTTCTTTCCAAGTGATCCTTTCCACTTCCCTCGTTTTAATCAAAAATTGGCATGCATTCCTCGCCAATCAATTCTTTTGTGCTTCAAAATGGCAGAATTGATCACAAGACGTGCTTTGGAAGATTTTGTTTTGAATTGAGCGAAAGTTGTACCTCCAAAGCACATGGGAAAGTGGAGGAACTTCCACGTCAGCGTCATTCAAAGTTAAGTGCTGAGTTCGAAATTCGCTGTCGTGAGAACGATTCCAAAAAAAAAATGGGAAATCTGTTGTTAGTTTTATCTACAATAATAGCTAAAATTTTTAGTGGGCAAATATGAATGTGCTCATAAATACGGCAAAACTTCCGACCGATCTCTTTATGTTTTCACTGCTAGCCATAATCTCTATAGCGCTGAGATGTGGAGTGATACCTGGAGGTCAAGGTGAGAACTAGAAATTTTTCATAATAGGACAAATGCTCCATTCTCAGGAAGAGATTTATGAAAAGTATCAGAGCGTTTATACGTGCCACTTAATGTCTTCTCAAAATTGTGTTATCCTAAGCTTTTCATAATATGATCACATTGAAAGTAAGAAACGAAGTAGATAGGAACATTATTTGAAACTATGATTTCAATCTTTTAAATTTTGAATCTCTCTTAAAATTTTAATGATTTTTAATGATTTTAATGTATAGTTACCGGATAGAAAAAGAACGATACTTTGCTGCAGCGAGCACTCGTACCTTCACCGTCATCGGCTTCACTTTGCCTGTTGCTATGGTTTACACTGGAGACTCTACAATTTCTACTCAGGTATTTGGCATTGCAACTAACAAAGGAGGAGCTCAGGTATTAGTAAACCGTCTTTTGATGCAAGTAGTGAGTTGACAACTTTTATATCCCAAGTATTTCCTTTTTCTGCAATTTTTGGTAAGACGTAGGAGGCAAGCCCCAATTTTTTGAAGAATCGTCGTCTTCAAAGTGCGAATATAACTTGAATCACTCCACATAGATTGACTGAAAATTTTCAAGTAAACTCTTCGTATAAAAGATAAAAATGTTACTAGGTACTTGACGTTCTCGAACGCCAAGCTCATAGTCGTTTTTACCTGATAGTGTAATCTCATCCATTCTGGGTCAACTTATCGTGAACATCACATACAAACGAATGCAAGAAAGTTTCTTCAATGGCGGTTAAGTTAAAACTTTGGTGTTCAGTACCGAAAATCCGTTTAGAAAATTTCAAGGATGAGTTTAATAGCATTTAGAGAGCAGATTCGTGTTTGCTAAAGTGTTGAAAAACAAACAATTATTAGTAAATCACCATGAAATGTCCTTGAAATCGAGGAAAATATTAACATTGAAACCGAAACATTCAGGTGGCAAAATTTTCTTCCAAGGGTTCTCATGTCTTTTTCCGTGAGAATGTCATGGTGTAATCACAGTGTCAGGTGATGTTTTAGAAGATTTTGAAGAATTAAAGAAAAGAAAACAAGTGCTCGCAACTGTTCACCTTTTCAGTCTTCCAATGCAATATCTTAACTGTTGAAGAGTTCCATCTGTAAGACTGATAATTTTTTACAGAAGACAAGACGGACGATACGTGCATTATTGTCGACAACACGGTGACGGGAATTTGCACTAAAATGACGGGGAAGAGTGCACTGGAATGTAACATGGCCATGGCGGTCGCGGCTAATCCACCTTAGCACTTATTGGAGGGACTATCTCGGTCTGGTAGCTTACTGTTTTGTACGACCTTTATTTTGTGGAGTGAAAAAAATCTGTATAGACTACAAACATCATCATGGCGAATTGGTCGAGAATGATGTGGCAAAGTGTAGTGAACAGAGCGGTGCGGATGTTGGCATAGAGTCCATTTGGATCGAAGTTCTTCTTAGCATCTGCTGTTGTCTGCGGAAACTAAATTTCAGCCGTGTTTTATTTGAGACAACGCTTTTATTCAATCGACTAGCAATAAATTATCAATAAACTCGTAAATCACTTAGGTGCTGATTAGTCAGAGTAATTGCAACGAAGTACTCCTAGATCAGGCTTTCTTTGAAAATTTGGTGACAAATCAACAAATAAAAATCTTTGAGAAAAACTCCTTCTTTCTCGTAATTCGAGAATATGCACTCATCTGAGAGTATTGAGTAGTATGCAAAACACTCAACTCTAGGCGGGAGTTGTTAATGAAACTAGGTGGAGATCGATCACAAAAATAAAAACCATTACA